TTATGTTGTGCTCCTCAGTGTTTGGCCCATCCACAGTTTCTGGTTTTAAAATCCAGCCCAGTTGAATTTGTAATTGAACAGCCCTGGTGTAAACGCTACCAAAGCAAAAGCAAAATGAAAAACAGCATCAGGTGTTCAAACATCAACAGAGGTGTTTAATTTCTCTTGTTGGAGCAGTTTTCAGCATCCACAGCTATCAGCAATTTAGCCTGTGGGACACAGCTGACCTGATCTGATGTTTGTGATTAAGAAGCTCTCTGACTCTCTTTCTGCTTTGGCTTGATTCCTTTGCTTCTTGTTTTCATTTCAAAGTCAAACACTGAGGTAAAATATTGTGTCATGGAAACTATCTTGTCTTTTATTATATTTTGTGTGCTGATAGTAGGAATAATGTGAGCCAAGACCAGTGTGTAGGCCTGGACTGAAACTAAATAAAATGCCTTATCATCCTAATATACATGAACACCTTATTGGATAGGACTTCAGAAGGGATATAAGATGTTCCCCTCCATCTCATTTAACAACCAGATGGTTTGATTGCACACTGATCTGTTTAAAATAACAGATAATAACAGTCCACACTGAGAAACTGTACTGCTGCACATCAGCTGCAGGTTTGAACCACTGGAGGGAGCACCTCACCACATTTACTCACTCTAACGTCAGTGAAATCATCACACTTGGATTTGTTGTTTGTCGTCGACATTTTTGATCAGGACTGTTTTAAATGCCAGCAGGACAGCCACACAGAACAAAAGAACAATAAGACACTACTGCATCCCTACAAACTGCAGAGTATCTGTAGCTGACAGTAACCTCTGACCTCCCAGAGGATTTAATACATGTCTGCACATTACATCACATCAGCCCACACATCATTATACAAGATGTGAGCAGCAGAAGGGTTAATACTCCTCTCACATGTGAACAAAGTGGAGAAAACAGAATAAGGCCCCGCATGTCTGATGTGTCCCCATCCTTTTTACACAGGCTGAAATAGCATCGCTTTACTTTCACTTTCATTCATAACCTATTTCACAAAGTTTCACCGAGTAACAAGTGATGCTCAGCCGAGTTATAGTGACGTTGGTGCTCAGCCTAAATTCCCATTGGCTCAGATGGAGGTTGAAATCAGTCTCCTCCTTCTTTTTTTGGTGAAGTTATTAGATCCCTCCTTGTTACCAGCACTTAAGCCCCGCTCCTCGAGGTGTTAGGTTGGTCTCTGTTTGTGTCAGTAAACAAACATTAACTCGGTGTTTTATCAAACCTTCAGATTCGACAACTCACAATGCAGGCCTGGATTCCTCCGCTTCTGCTTCTCGTGAGTTTTCATGGCGCCTCGGCAAGTAAGTTAAGATTTTTTTTCTAAGTTTATTTCTTAAAAAAAAAAAAAAAAAAAACAGCTTCATGACTTTATATATTGTATATATGAATGTGAGGTTCTTCTGATAGTCTTTGATGTTTAGTTAAAATACTTCCATGCAGCAGATCAAAGAAATGTTTTTTTTTTTAAATAAATAAATCCATTATCGTTCATAAGTTCACGTTTAATCCTGACTGAGCAACTCATTGATTGATTACGTTTTTCTATTTAGCCATAAACACTACGTAAGTGTATTTATTTTCTCTAACTTTCCTTTCCTTTATGTCGCTATTATTTTATGACATCAGGACCATTAAGACCGATACGGGATGGTCGATATGAATGCTAAAATGGCAGCAGGACTACAAAGCACAACACAGTCCAACACGCAGATAAATGAGTAAAATATAAAGAAAACATAAAATAAAGTTGTTAAAATAGTCGTTTATTGTCCAAAACTATATGTATAGTGCACTCACTGAAATCAATTTTTTAGTTGTTCATTTTTTATTTTTTACTTAAAAAACCCATAGTGTTTTATTCAGTGCTGTTAACCATGACTTAGACTTATTTTAAATCTAAACTGGAGTTTGACTTTACATATAGATATTCAGCACTAAGTGTAGAACTGTGATGTAAAAACTGAAATTATTATCAATTGTTTCCAACAGGGACTCACTCTCTGAAGTATTTCTTCACTGCGTCTTCTCAAGTCCCAAACTTCCCAGAGTTTGTGATTGTTGGGTTGGTTGATGAAGTTCAGATGTTCCACTATGACAGCAACACCAGGAGAACAGAACCCAAACAGGACTGGATGAACAGAGTCACAGAGGATGATCCTCAGTACTGGCAGACACAGACTGACATTGCTGTGGGTGACCAGCAGTCCTTCAAAGCCAACATTGAGATTTTAAAGCCACGCTTCAACCAAACTGGAGGTTTGTTTCTGTTTCACTTTCTACTGATAAAATGTTGTTTATATTTACATTCTCTATTTTAGTAAACATCTGCTAACACACACACACACACACACACACACCACTTTTCATCTGAGTTCTCTCTCTCTCCGTGTCTCTCCCTGTCTCTCTCTCTCTCTCTCTCTCTCTCTCTCTGTGTCTCTCTGTGTGTCTCTCTCTGTCTCGCTGTCTGTCTCTCTCTTTGCCTCTCTCCCTGTCTTTCTCTCTCTTTGCCTCTCTCTGTCTCACTGTATCTTTCTGTCTCTCTCTCCCTCTCTGTCTCTCTCTCTGCCTGTCTGTCTCTCTTTCTCTCTGTCTCTCTCTGCCTCTCTCTGTCAAATTCAAATTCAGATTTGCTTTATTGGCATAAATGTCACAAAGACTATGTTGCCAAAGCATAAAGACGCAATGAAACAAAACAACAATAAACTTAATAAGTATATATAGGTGTTATGCCCAGTCTAGGGGTGTCTGGGACACAACATGAAAGGCCCCCATCTTCCCCAAGTCCCAAGTAGCAACAATGAAAAAGACGTATGGAACGATCAATAGTGCAAATTTATTTACAATATTTAAATAACAGAATTAACTGAAATAGTAACTTCAGGGTGGACTAAGGCCAAAATAACAAACAAAAACAATCCTGCCCAGGGAGTAAGTAAATAACCTAACCAAATAATAAAAAAAACAAATGACAAAAAGCTTACCTCCCTAACTAAATAAACAGGAGAAAAAGGATTAGTAACAAAACTGGCAGTCCACCCCTACGATTTAACAGTCTTAAACACAATAATGATTTACTACAACACAACAATATGTGGCCGGTTGGGAGAGGAGGAAGGTGAGGTGTGCCTGCTAGCTCGCAGCAACTGCCATCTTTGTCCTTTAAAAACCTGGACGCCCATGGCAGCAGCCAATCAGGAACGAGCATAGATCAAATTCACCAATCCTCGCCGGGCTATGGCACACACCTATTTGCATACAGAAAGAACACAACCAGAGGGAAAACATGCACAGAGAAACACAGAACACATTCAGGAAGAACACAAACTTAACAACTTACGACAACAGTCGTAACAATAGGATAAAACTTAAAGCCCCTACAAGGAACTTTCATTTTGAGTTGATTTTGGCGACCCTGTGGATAAAAGCCGTAGTGTTTTGCCGGAATGAAGCCTACATTTCCCATGAGCTCTAGCGCGTATTGTTCTAAAGACGCTTACTTGGCTCGCGCATGTGTTTGTTTTGGGGATGAATGAAACAACAAGACGGGAAAACTTTGCCCCTGCTCCTATCGGGGATCCCAGCTCACCTCTGCCGCGCCCCAGCTCCACCTCTCCGGCGTAAGCGCCACCGCCACCGGGGTAAACGCAGCGGTCAGTTGGTAAGGCTGAAAGCCTGTTTGGCGAGCACTTCCACGGCTTCTTGGACTGAGTATGGAGCGGTGCCTTGCCTCTTTATTTCTCGGCACTCGCTGGACCCTGTCGACGCCTGGCTGGTACCTGTGGTCGGCCCGGATGAGGTCTTCCAGCCCCGCGGCCCCTGCTCTCCTGGTCCGCGCTGCCGCCGGGGTGAATCTGCGCAACCTGTGGCCTCTGTGTGTGGCTCCCCGGACAGCTAACGCCGTGGACCCGCCAGCTCCTGCCAGGATTGGGCTGGTAAATGCTAGCGAACAAAATGTTTATCCTGAAGGATTTCCTGACTTCCTGAGGATTGAATTTTCTCTGTGTGACTGAGACGTGGCTGACTGTTGGTGAGTCCAGTGCTTTCACAGAACTTTTACCCAATGATTGCTGCTATTTTAACTCCCCGCGGACGTCGGGTCAAGGAGGAGGAATAGCCACTATTTATAAGAGTCACTATAAATATAAGCATTTAGGTAAGATGCAGTGTGCGTCTGAGTGCCGTAAATCGCTTCGTCCTGGAAGCAACCTGGGACAGATCCGTACAGTGTCCTAAAGGTATGGATATACACTATATAGAAATAGCTTATTTTCACAACGATGGTCTCATTTGCTGTTGTAGGTCACGCACAGACATCAGCAGAAACGAGAGACTTTTGCATATCCAGTTAAAAGTTCCTTGTAGTGGCTTTAAGAAAAATAAAATAAATAAATTTTTTTTAAAAAAAAGAGAGAATTGTGTGTGTGTGTGTGTGTGTGTGTGTGTGTGCGTGCGTGCGTGCACATGTGTGCATGTATTTTTCTGCGTGTGTGTGTGTGCATTTTTCTGTGTGTGTGTGTAATAATAATAATAAACAATAAGTGATAAAGAGAATAGTGATAGTAACATCAGAAATAAATGAGATAAACAGTCTTACATTCAAACATTTCTTGATGTGTGACATGCAATGACATATTCTCCTGCCAGTTCTACAGTGGAACTGTCTTCTCCCAGAAGGATTTGAAGGATTTTGTCTTGTCAGGGATTTTTTCTTTAAATTTGGGAAATATTTCTTCTCTAATTTCTTTGTATTTGGGACAATTTGTGAGGAAGTGAGTTTCAGTCTCTACTTCTCCCGTATCACAGTGGACACAAATTCTTTTTGTTCTTTCTTGCCATTCTTTTTTATGGCGACCAGTTTCAATGGCATATTTATGGTCACTCAGTCTATATTTTGTAAGAGTTTGTCTTTTTGGGGGGTGTTTTATTTGGGTTAAATATTGGGCCAATTGAAATTCTCTGTCCAGTAAATTGTAACATTCTAGTTTATTGATTGTTTGAGTTTCTGTTTTCCACTGTTTGCAATATTTTTGTTTATTATCTTTGTTGATTTGTTTTATTTGTGAGTATGAAATTATTTTTGTAGTGTCATTATGACTTGTCAATCTGATTTCCTCATTTGTCCCGTTCTAGGTATTACTGTATTTTCTGGGTTCAGACAGCCCTGCTGCTCCAAGTATGCTCTGTGCTGGTATGAGTCTAAATCAGACTCTATCAAATGGTTCCAAAATTGGATAGTTCTCTTTTTAATTTTAATTAAGAGGGGGAACTGGCCCAGCTCTACTCTGCAGCTGTGGTTTGGGCAGTTTCTGTGGACTCTCAGTATATTTTTGCAGAATTCAAGATGCACTTCTTCAACAGGTTTTGAGTCCCAGTGGTCTTGTTTAATTAACGGGCCCCAAACTTCACTTCCATATAGGAGGATGGTTCAATAATACTTTCGAAAATTTTAAGCCAGATCTTGATTGGGGGGTTTAATTTGAATAGGACTTTTCGTATGCTGTAATATGCTCTATGGGCTTTTTCTGCCAGTGAACTCACAGCTTTAACAAAACGTCCCGAAGCAGTGGTAGTTAGGCCAAGGTAAGTGTATTCCATTGCGTGACTCAGGGTTGTCTCTCCCAAAGTAAATTGATATTTTTAGATTGTGATCTTGCTTTCTTTTGAAATATTACAATTTTAGTTTTATCTAGGTTTACGCTGATTGCCCAATTTACACAATAATCATGAAGTAGCCTATGTCCAGATATTCTTGGATTCCTTGTTTTGTTTGTGATAAAAGTAGGAGGTCATCTGCATAAAACAGACACTTGACTTCCTTATTCTCCAAGTCAAGTCCTGGGGCTGGGGAGTTTTCAAGTAGTTTTGCTAATTTGTCAATATATATATCACTGTCTCTCTCTCTGTCTCTTTCTCTCTCTCTCTGTCTCTCTTCTTTTCCGAGTGAGGGTGGTGGAGAGCATCTGACTCTTACTCTCTTTTCTTCTTGTGTTTAATGTGTCTGTGATTTATCGACTCTGTCACTGGTTTTTGCAAAAGTAGTTGTTTCTGCCGGTGCCTGACGCCACCGGTGAGTCCACCATCAGCATGGCTGCAGGTGGCTCAGGTTTGGAAAGGCTCGTGCTTTGCCATGCAATCGAACTTTCACCAGCAGTCAGCTGTTCAGTCGAGGAGTGCAGTTTGGCAGTCTGAGAAGCTGTGGGCTATGGAAGTGTTAAATCTGCCTCCAGGATGAACAGCGCTGTCGTGATCTCTCTCAATACCACTGATAAAGCCAATCAGCTGCTTGAGAGCGGAGTTGTGATTCAGGGTGCTTTTACTCCTGTGTTGTCTCTTGTTAATCCTGCAAAGAGAGTTATCATTTAACGTGCCCCCTTTCATCAGACACGAGCTACTAGAGAAGGAATTGGCCCGATATGGACAGTTAGTGACCCCGATTAAAGTGATTCCCCTCGGCTGCAAGTCTCCTCATCTGAAGCATGTCATGTCTTTCAGGAGACAAGTTCATATGGTGTTAAAAAAAGAATGATGAAGAACTTAACTTGGTCTTTAAGTTCAGAGTTGATGATTTTGACTATACTGTTCATGTTACTTCTGAGACGATGAAATGCTTTGGATGTGGCACTGAAGGCCATTTGATTCGTTCATGTCCAGAGAGAGCAGGTGAGTGCTGGTCAGCTGTGGCTGACGCAGAGCCGCCATCTGAGGCGGTGGGTGCAGCAGCAGCATCACTGACGCAGTGCGATTCACAGGGAGACACACAGGGCACGCAGGAGAAAAACAGTGATCAAAGTGAACCAAGTGCACAACACAACGCACATCTAAACACACCACAGAGTGAAGACGAGGGCGGTTTTGTGAGTCAGCAGGGAGATCAGACTACAGTCAAGGAACAGGCCGGGCAGACAGCCACCAGTGTCGCCGAGTCTGTTTTAGATGATGATGACGATGATGATGATATAGTGATTGATGATGATGTTCCAAAGTTACCACTTAAGAGGAAAAACCCAGACACCAAGAGCAGTAAAAAAGCCCTTAAAGTGACAAAAGAAAACGTGCAGTCTCCTCCTCTCAGGTAGAGGAGAGCACTCTCAGCACACAGGGAGGTGACAGTGAAGCATGTGAAATGATGCAGGTGGATCAGGGCAGTGGTTTTTCCTTTACTAGGATCAGGGCTTTTCTGCAGGAAACAAAAGGGATGAGGTCAGTTAAGGTGGAAAATTATTCCCCTGATTTAAAACTGTTTCTTGATTCTGCCAAACTTTTCATGAAGAGCACAGACAGCATCGGGCAGCCTACTTTCACTGATCAAGAGAGTTTCCGTTTAAAGAAAGTGTTACAGAAGGTCAGAGCACAAATTGCAGGCGATGAATAGGTCTGTGTCTCTTTCTTTTCTTCTGGTGCGCTGTTTTCTCTCTTCTCCTTGAGGGTGGCTTTACTTCCAACATGTGTGATGTAAGGCTGGGCACTTTAAACATCAATGGTGCAAGAGATGATGTCAAAATGGTCTCTTTATATAGTTTAATTAATGCAAAGAAATTAAATGTAGTTTCTCTTCAGGAGACTCAGCACTGTTGACAGTGAGGCTGATTGGAGGAGGGAATGGAGTGGGGAGGTTTTCTTAAGTCATACGAGCAGTAGCAGTGGTGGGGTTGGAATATTGTTTTCCAAGGACTTCTTGCCCATATCCTGTGTCGCTGATGAAATTATTAAAGGCAGGTTGTTGAAAATAAGGGCTGAGTTTGAAAAGGTGAAAATGGTGTTTATAAATGTTTATGCTCCACCTGTAGGCACAGAGAAATTAGCTTTCTTGGACACACTGAATAATGTCATTAAAAACTGCAGCAGTGAGGAATATTCGTTTATAGCTGTCGATTTTAACTTCACAGAGAACGCAGCCTTAGATAGGAACCATCGGGAACCTTGCACAGCTTCCAGCAGCAGTCTTGCGAAGATAGTTGAGACATCTGAGCTGTGTGACATTTGGAGGCATTGTCATCAAAACCAGCGACAGCACACATGGACTCACAGCAGAGATAACTCCGTGTCTTTGGCCAGACTTGATAGGTTTTATTGTTTCAAACATCAGGTTAATGTTGTCGAGGGCTGTACTATTTTTTCCTGTAGGAATATCAGATCATTCTCTTGTACAGGCTTCCATTTTTATAAAAGATGCGGAAACGCAATAGTGCATATTGGCATTTTAATGTGGGGCTTTTGTCTGACACTGTTTTTAAAGGTGCTTTTAAGTGTTTCTGGAAAATTTTCAGAGAGACAAAATCTGAGTGTAGCTCACTTCAGCAGTGGTGGGATGTAGGAAAAGGTAAAATAAAAGAGCTGTGCCTGCAATACACTTTCAGTGCCACAAAGGTCATGACTCGGTCTGTGGAAGCTCTGGAGAGAGAAATAGTGGAGCTCCAAAGTTTGGCGGACTCCACATGAGATGGAGAACATATTCAAGTTCTCAAAAGGAAAACTCAGCTCTATCTAACCTGCTGGGTTTCTCTGCTAGAGGGGCTCTGGTCTGATCTAGGTTTCAGACTCTCTCTCAGATGGATGCTCCCTCTCACTTTTTCTTTGGGCTGGAGCGTAAGAATTGTCACAGGAGACTGATGCACTCCCTACGGTTTGACGCTGGGCAGCTGCTGCAGGAGTCTGCTGAGATCCGTCAGTGTGCAGTTTATCAGAAGCTGTTCAGGAGTGAGTTTCTGGAACATCCAAGGGTGTTACAGTCCTTCCATGAAGATCTACCAAAGATCTCTGTGGAGGCCAATGCAGAGCTGGAGGCTGAGATCTCCGCTGAGGAGCTGCGTGAGGAGCTGCAGAGCCTGGAGAGTGTGAAGGCCCCCGGCATAGATGGACTGCCAGCAGACTGCGATAAAGCTTTCTGGCCTGTGATTGGTGGGGACTTGTTGAGTGTTCTCAGAGACAGTCATAGCAGGGGGCAGCTGCCTTTGAGCTGCAGGAGTGCCGTCCTCACCCTTCTTCCCAAGTAGGGGGATCTGCAGGACTTTAAGAACTGGAGGCTGGTGGTGTTGCTTTGCAGGGATTACAAGATCCTGTTCAAGGTGTTGGCCACCAGGGTGAGAAAAGTGATGGAGCAAGTCATTCATGTTGACCAGACATATTGTGTTCCTGGCAGGATGATATCTGTCAATATTATTTTGATTTGTTTTATTTTGAACCTCTCCAGCTCATTGGGTTGTGAGCTTGGTCTTATTTCCATAGATCAAGAGAAGGCATTTGACCGTGTTGAACATCCATATCTGTGGCAAACGTTGGAAGCTTTTGGTTTCAGCTCTGGTCTCACATCCAAGATTCGGGTTTTGTACAGTGGCTTTGAAAGTGTGTTAAAAATTAACAGTGGCTTGAGTGCTCCTTTTAAGGTTCAAAGGGGGTCAGGCAGGGTTGCTCCTTGTCTGGCATGTTGTACCCTCTGGCCTTAGAGCCTCTCCTGCACAGACTGAGAGCACATCTGTCTGGTGTTCATTTTACTGGCTGTAGGAAAGTTTTTAAGCTGTCTGCGTCCACTGATGATGTCATAGCTCTTGTAAAAGCCAGGAAGATGTTGATGTTTTGGTTAAAAACGTAAACACCTTTGGTCTAAGTTCTTCTGCAAAAGTAAATAGGAAAAGGAGTGAAGCATTATTGGTGGGTGATGTATTGAGTAGGGATGTAGTTTTACCTGCTGGGCTAACATGGAACAAAAGAGGAATCAGATATATTGGTGTGTTTCTGGGGAATGAATCTTTCGTGTGTAAAAATTGGGAAAGCATGTTGGAAAAAGTGGAAGGGAGTATTAAAAAAGATGGAAATGGATTTTCCCCAAACTGTCTTTTAAAGGTCGTATTTTAATAATAAGCAACTTGGTGTCCTCTATGTTATGGCACTGTTTGTATTGTATGGACCCTCCTGCAAATCTGTTGTGCAATCTACAAACAGTGATAGTGAGCTTCTTCTGGGATCACTTCCACTGGGTCCCACAGAGCGTGCTCTTCTGACCAACGGAAAAGGGAGGTGAGGGGCTTATACATCTGTCCAGCAGGGGCGCTGTTTTCCGTCTCCTGTTCATCCAGAGGTTTCTCACTGGTCCTGCAGACCTGGTCTGGAGGTCAGCTGCTGAAACCATCCTGGGTCGGTGTGGTGGTCTGGGGCTGGTCGAGTCGCTGTTTCTGATGGACTTGGGTGATCAGAAGCTGGATGCACTTCTGAATTTGTATCGTGGACATTTCACAGTATGGGGAATGTTCCAGAAGCAGAGACCGGAGAGCAGTGACTCTCTGTACTGGCTCTTAAAGGAACTGGTGGTCTATGGGATTTGTTTCGTTACCACGGAGACAGTGGGTTCTACTGTGTTGAAGCAGCTCTGTTTGGCTAAGGTGACGACTCTGAAACATGTGGTTAACTTTTCTGGACCATACTTTGACAGTGCAGCATCTCTGGCCTCTCACCTGGGCGTCAGATCTGTCAGGTCCATCAGTCACACGCTCAGATCCTGGAAACATCAGCTGACACCAAAGGAACGATTGTAATGGTTCCCTTTGTCCTGTTGATAATGATCCTTTTCCATTTCTGAAGATTGTGCCTGATTTTAAAAACTGTTCTGGGTGTCTGTTAAATCTCAGTGAGTCACATGTCCAAGGTTTCAGTGTTCTAACAGGAAAACAATGTACAGACTGATGGTCAAATTGTTAAACAAAGGTAAACTGAGTGGTCGCGTTGACACTCCGTGGAGAGCTCGCCTGTCTCTGAGTGATGAGGTGAAGCCTGTGTGTGGAGCTCTGTACAAACCACCGTTAACAAAGAGGGTTGGAGACCTACAGTGGAGAGTGTTGCACGGAGCTGTGGCTGTCAGTGCTTTTGTGTTTGTAGTAAATCCTAATGTTAATGACAGCTGTTCTTTTTGCACCACAAGAGAGACTGTTTTTCACTGTTTTTTAGATTGTTGCAGGCTCAGTTCACTGTTTGGTCTTTTAAGGAATTTATTCAGAGTGTTTGGTGAGGTCTTCTCTCAGCGGGTTTTTATTCTTGGGTTCAAATACAGTCAGAAATGTTACACAAAGTGTCATCTGTTTATTTGTTTTAGTGGGTCAGGCAAAAATGGCTATTTATGTGAGCAGAAGGAATAAAATAGAGCTCTCCTTAAACTGCGATGCAAAGGCTATTTTCATTCAAATGCTCAAAGCCAGAATAAAACTGGACTACAGTTATTATTGTGCTGTGAGGGACACATTTATGGACATGTGGGGCTACAGACGTGTCGTGTTCTGTTGAAACAGACCAACTCCTGTTTGGTCATGTGTTGGGGTAAGAATGCCTCATACCCCCCACTCTGATGGTTCTCTTCTTTTTTCTTTTTTTGAGTGAAAACTAAGATGTATTGATTGTTGATTGCTGGTGTTTATGTTGATATCTTTTTTTCTTGTGATAGCTAGTAAAGGTTGTGTTTAAAAAAAACTCTCTTTCTCTCTCTCTCCTTCCTCAGGTGTCCACATTGTCCAGTTGATGTATGGCTGTGAGTGGGACGATGAGACCGGAAAAACTAATGGTTTTCGTCAGTATGGTTATGATGGAGAAGACTTCATATCATTTGACCTGAAGACAGAGACATGGATCGCTCCAAATCAACAGGCTGTCATCACCAAACACAAGTGGGACAGTAACAAAGCTCTGATAGCTTCTTGGAAGAATTACGTCACTCAGATTTGTCCTGACTGGCTGAAGAAGTACGTGGACTATGGGAGGAGCTCTCTGCTGAGAAAAGGTAGAGTCACATGACCTGATGTAGTTTCATGAACATAACAATCTTCATGTGTCTCCTCTGTTTCTAACCAACAGTAACATCACAGTGAATATGAGCCAACATGTACAGACACACATTTTCTTTTTCTCTAATGTTTTCACCTCTCTTCATCTCTCTGCCTCCCTCTCTCTGAACTCTGTTTCCTGCCACTCTCTCCCACAGACTGATCACCACTCTCTCCTTCTCTCTGTCATGTTTCTTTTGTCTTAATTTTTTTTTCTATCTTTACTGTCTTTGTAACAATCACTGTCCTCCTCCCTTTCAAATCTGTCTCACCCTCTCACCTCTCTTCACCTGTCTTATTGTCTCCTCTGTCTCTCCCTTCTTTTCTCAGTTACACTTCACTGAGGTTTATTTGCATAGTATACATCTATAGTGCATGTGTTACTAAGGCATTTGAAATACTTTATATTTGAGAAATTGTATTATAAAATACAGTAGTTGACAATAAAGAACCCATGAACTGTCTTACTCTTCACTCTGCAGACCGTCCCTCAGTGTCTCTCCTCCAGAAGTCTCCCTCCTCTCCAGTCAGCTGCCACTCTACAGGTTTCTACCCAAACAGCGCCATGATGTTCTGGAGGAAAGATGGAGATGAGCTTCATGAGAACGTGGACCACGGAGAGATCCTCCACAACCATGATGGATCCTTCCAGATGAATGTTGACCTGGACGTGTCATCAGTCCCACCTGAAGACTGGAGGAGGTATGAGTGTGTGTTTCAGCTCTCTGGTGTGAAGGACATCATCACCAAATTGGACAAAGCAGTGATCTGGACCAACAGAGGTAAGACTTCTGTCAGAGGTGAAGGAGGGAAACACTCATTTAGTTTACTGTGACAGTCCTGCCGTTCATTAATTTTAATTTGAATGGGAAGTTTTGTTTCCTTAAATTGTTTTGGTATCAGTTTCTTCCATCTAGTGTTAACATGTAATGTTAAGGCTTAGATTTGTATTAATCCAATGCATGTGTCCACTTCTGGACCTTAATAATTACCTCAATTTCATGTCTGCCACCTGTCCACTGTTGAAGTAGCTTTGGTTAATAATGAGAAATATTAGTTATTTTTTACCACCTTTGTAAACTGATTAATAAATTAGTTTTTAAATCGTGAAAAAAAATGTAGAAAGAGCCTTTTTCTGGTCTTGTGTAACTGTTTTAATGGTTAACTACAGTCACAGATTATAGGCACTGTATTGTCTCAGTTTTAGAGAAGACATAATTATTTAATAACTAGATCAATGTATGTATCTGTAAGTAAATCAGTCAGAATAAAGAGTTTGAATATGACTGTCAGAAGCTCTCATTGTGCCAAAAAACCACAGTATGGGACAGAAACCAACATTGACATACAGCTAAACAAAGAACTAAACAAGACAAGAATAAACAAGCATAGATACAGTAAAAATACGCAGACAAGTAGGGATAGGAACTGATATTATCAACAACAGCAGGACAAACAAACATATATCGTAGTGTATGTATACAAGATTGCGGTCTGGTTGACAGATAGATGTTTTTCTCTCCTAACCTGCTTCATCTGTTCAGGTTGTGATTATTTTTCGTTGTTTTCCACTCAACAGAGAAGCCCACTGACATGACCGTCCCCATCATTGCTGCAGTTGTTGTTATCGCTCTCGTCCTCATCGCTGTGATGGGATTCGTCATTTACAAAAAGAAGAATGGTGAGAGACTAAAACAAAAATACATCTTTTTTTTTCTTTCCGTATTTTGGTGTTAGACTTTGAATTGATGTTTTAATCGGGATGACAAAAGTGAGCCAAATTTCAATTGTTCAATCACACAAAAATATGTTTTAACAAACATTAAGTTCAACTGTAACAAGAAAATGTTATGTCTTTTCTTTATATTTCAGCCAAACGCCCTCCATCTCGTAAGTAAAACTTCTTTTTATTCTGTTTTTCTCTGACCTGATATTCACTATTCATTTTTTGCTTGAACTTTTTCAGGACTGTCTCCTGTAGTGTGAGCTGTTTCTAAAACACAGTGGATGTGGGCTAACAGTGTGTTTCTGACCTTACAGCTATAAACAACCCTGAGGTCTTGGAGGAACTGAATCCAAATGCATAAATGGCAAACACACCATCCTGCACACAGTGAGTTTCTTCATATGGGACTTGAACTGT